GGCACTGAGAGCACGAGCGACTGAGGGCCACAACGGGCGTATAAATGGGCCACAAAGGGCAGCGAGGGGGCCACTGAGGGCAGCAGCGGGGCCACGAAGGGCAACTATGGGGCCACTGAGGGTACTGGCGACTGGGGGCCACGAAGGGCGAACATATGGGCCACAAAGGGCAACGAGGGGGCCACAGAGGGGGCCACATTGGGCAGCGGGGGGGAGGCACACGGGGCTAAACTGGGGCCACGCGGTGCAGCGATGGGGCCACTGAGGGCACGTTCGACTGGGGGCCACGAAGGGCGTATACATGGGCCACAAAGGGCAGCGATGGGGGCCAGTGAGGGCAGCGGCGGGGCCACGAAGGGCAGCAATGGGGCCACTGAGGGCACGTTCGACTGGGGGCCACGAAGGGCGTATACATGGGCCACAAAGGGCAGCGAGGGGCGACTGAGGGCAGCATCGGGGCACCGAAGGGCAGCGACTGGGCCACAAGGGGAGGGGCCACGAAGGGCAGCAATGAGGCACAAAGGGCGCGAGCGAGCATGGGGCACGAAGGGTATGACCCTGACGAGCGGGCCGAGCGGGCGGATCGATCGTGAGTTTTGCGTGATTAGCTAGGAAGTTTCCAGCGAGAGAGCGATTCCGACGTGAATTCCAGCGAACGCGCGATTCCTGAATGGCAAGAGCGCGGCGCCTGAGTAAATTGCGAGGAAGTCTCAGGCGGGAGCGCGATTCTTGAGGAAATTGCGAGGAAGTCGCAAGCGGGAGCGGGGGACCGGAGTAAATTCCGAGGGAGTATCAAGCGGGAGCCGTTGTTGTTGTAAACTGGGGGCCGGGGGCACAGTTTGAGGAGGAAGATTTTCTGTGATAAGAGAAAGGTGCGAGCGCCGGGAGGGACACTTCAATGGAAAAAAACACAATGTGCACCGGGATGGGAGATCAACAATAATTATTCTTCAATGGTGAGACTTCGGCAACACATGCTCTCGCTTGCTGTGTCTGTCATCACAATTTGTTGGAAAATCGCGATTGCACGCGGCACTTCCTCACAATTTATGCAGGAATCGCTCTCCCGCGGGGCATTTTTTTCGTGATTTATTTAAACGCCGCGCCCTCGACGCGCAGGACACGCATTCTCGCTTTGATTTTTGTTCGCGACTCACTCGGGAATCGCACTATCGCTCGAGACCGCAGCGCGATTAATACAGCATTCACGCTTCAGCAACATGCCTGCTTGATTTGGTCGAGTGGGCCTGCCTTCCGACCCGACCCGCCCGTTAGGGTTTACCCGCCCGATCAGCCCGTCTGGTTCTGCCGTGTGCTTTCTGCTCCTACCCCCCCCCCCAGCTGCTAATGCCGTGCTCCACCCTTCTCCCTCCTCCTTCCATTTGTCCTCTCCCTCCCCCTGTCTTACGGGCTGCACCAATTACACGTGGCCGGTAGGACGTTTTTCATATATTATAGTACCTTATATTATAGTCGATCCTATTATATTGTAATACATGGATTCTATACATTGTATATATTATGAATCAATCCCCGGGAGGGCACAATCAAAGACGACGAGGGCGGGTAGCATGGTTTGGGATAAACGTGTCGAATGGCATGCGGGCAGGTCAGAGTGAACAGCCGTACAGTGCTGATGGTGTTGTTGATGATGATGATGCTGATGATGATGATGCTCGGTGCTGTCGTCGTCGTCGCCCCACTCGCTGCACGGCCCGCCCGCCCGCGACCCACCTGCGATCCACCTGCGACCCACGTGCGATTCACCCCACGACCCACCCCGCGACCCACCCCGCGCCCGCCCTCACTCTTATCCGCAGCTGCGGGGTTCTACATACAGTGCCGTTTTTAAGACATGCTCCGCGTGCGGATCATGTACTGAACACGCAGGGATTTAGTATTAAGAATAACGAGGAGTTCATGCATACATTCATTCATAACTTAATCATGTCATCCCATATGTTTAAACATCCTATGCATTATAAACTGCCTTGTATCGAAGACGCCTACGGCGAATCACCGCCGCCCCCTGCCTTTTTGGAAGCGCCTATGTGGCCGAACGTTGAGGCCAGCCCCGCCAAGCTATCGGACCATGTGTTCCCCGAACCGGTTTGGAAGGCCTTCGGGGAACACGTGGGCAGCTTGACAGTCGTCTCGGCCGCCTGGAGGCCACTTTGACCCTTTCGGGCCTTCTTGGAGGACGTCTTGGAGGGCTCTTGGGCTGTCTTGGAGGCCATCTTGAGCGTCTTGGAGGCCATCTTGGGCCGTCTTGGGGGCCTCTTGGGGCAGTCTTGGGCCTCTTGGGCGATCTTTTGGGGGCACTTGGTCCGTCTCGGGCCGTCGGAAGGCAGAAAACAAGCAAATGCCACAATCCTTCAAAAACCCATGGGGAATCAATACTTTTTGCCTTTTCGGGCCTTCCTGGAGTCCCTCTTGGAGGCCTCTTGAGCCGTCTTGGGCCATCTTAGGGCCATCTTCGGCCGTCTTGGTGGGCCCCTGGCCCGTCCGACGCCGTCGAAAGCCCTTTGGGGGGCCTCTCTGAGCCGACTTGGGGCCCTCTTGGAATGCTCCAGGGCCGTCTTGGAGGCCATCTTGGGCGTCTTAAAATGCCTCCTGGGCCGTCTTGGGGGCCTCTTTGGGCCGTCTTGGGGGCCTCTAGGGCCGTTCTAGTGCCATCTTGGAGGCCTCTTGGGCGATCTTTGGGTGCTCTTGGGCCGTATCGGGCCGCCGGAAGGCCGAAACGAAGCAAATGCCAACATCCTTCAAAAACCTACGCAAAGTCAGTGTGTTTGGCTTTTTGTTTCTGGCTTTCCTGGAGTCCCTCTTGGAGGCCGCTTGGGCCGTCTTGGGCCAGCTTCGAGCCAACTTCGGCCATCTTGGTGGGCTCCTGGCCCGTCTGACGCCGTCGGAAGCCGTTTGGGGAGCTTTTCTGGGCCGACTTGGGGCCCTCTTGGGGTGCTCCAGGGCCGTCTTAGAGGCCATCTTGGGCGTCTTGGAGGCCTCTTGGGCTGTCTTTGTGCCCTCTTGGGGCCGTCTTGGCGGCCTCTTGGGCAGTCCTGAGGCCATCTTGGAGGCCTCTTGGGCGCTGTGGGGGCGATCTTGGGAGCCTATTGGGCCGTCTTGGGCCGTCGGAAAGCCGAGAAGGCGCAAATGTCCAAATCTTTCAAACATCACAAGTAAATCAATGATTTGGGCCTCTTCGGGCCCCCCTGGAGGACCTCTTGGAGGCCTCTTGGACCGTCTTGGAGGCCTCTGGGGAGCCTCTTGGGCCATCTTGGGCCGTCTTGGAGGCATCTTAGGGCCATCTGAGCCGTCTTGGAGGCCATCTTGGAGGCATCTTGGAGGCCATCTTGGCCGTCATGGAATCCATCTTGGGCGTCCTGGAGGTTTCTTGGGCCGTCTTGGGGCTCTCTTGGGGCCGTCTTGGGGGTCCCTTGGGCCGTCACGGGGCCATCTTGGAGGCCTCTTGGGCGATCTTGGGGCGAACTTGGGGGCCTCTTGGGCTGTCTCGGGTTGTCGGAAAGCCGAAAAGGCGCAAATGCCAAAATCCTTCAACAACCTTAGTAAAACCACTGATTTTGGCCTCTTCGAGCCTTCCTGGAGGACCTCTTGGAAGCTTCTGGGAAGTCTTGGAGGCATCTTGCGGGCCGTTTTGGGCCGTCTTGAGGCCATCTTGGGCCGTCTTGGAGGCATCTTGGGGTCATCTGAGCCGTCTTGGAGGCCATCGTGGCCATCTTGGAGGCATCTTGAGGGTCATGTTGGACCATCTTGGAGGCCATCTTGGGCCAACGTGGCCATCTTGCCGCCTTCTTGAGCCATCTTGGAGGATTTTTTTTCGGATTGAGCGCCTTCCCAGGTGGCCGGCGGGACGGGCCGAAGCCCCAGGGGGAGTTCTTTCTGGAAAAACCAAAAACCATATCCTTCGGCACGCCAGGCGGCGGATAATGACCTTTGGCCCATCCCGCCACCGTGCTTGAATTGTTGGTCAGAGTTCTCAGGGATGCTTCTTGGGGTTTCTTCGGAGCGCACTCGGGGGCCTGGTGGACGCCTCTAGGGAGCCCTGTTGGGGCCTCTAGGGGCCCCTTTGAGCTTCTTGGAGGCCTCTTAGGGCCTCTTGGGGGCCTCTGGGGCCTCGTGAGGTCCTCTGGCCTCTTGGAGCCTCTTGGATGCCTTTGGGGGGCATCGGGATCTCCTGGAGGCCTCTCGGGGCCGAGGGCTCGACATGTCCGTTCGGGTCCCCCTTCTGGGCCCCCTCTTGGAGCCTTATTGGCAGCCTCTTAAGCCGTGTTGGATGCTTCTTCGGCCGTCTTCGGGCCCTCTGGGACGGTCTGGGTGCCCTCTTGGAGGCCTCTTGGGCCGTCTCGGGGCGATGTTTGGGGCGAAGCCGTCTTGGAACGTCGGGAAGCCGAACAATGCGATCACGCCAAACTTCTTCCAAGACCAACGGGAAATCAATGATGTTTGCCTCTTTGAGGCTCCTTGAGGCTCCTCCGCCCTCGGCCCCGAGGGCCCTTTCGGGAGGGCGCATCGGCCCGAAACTGCAGGAGCTCCTGGGGCGTCCAGCGAGTGCCCCCCTGGGGCACGAGAAGGCCTCGGGATGCCTCCCAAGGTGGCCCGGGAGGGCCCCAACGGACCTCCTCCTCCTCCTCCTCCTCCTCCTCCTCCTCCTCCTCCTCCTCCTCCTCCCCCTCCTCCTCCTCCTCCCCCTCCTCCTCCTCCTCCTCCCCTCCTCCTCCTCCTCCTCCTCCTCCTCCCTCCTCCTCCCCTCCTCCTCCTCCTCCTCCTCCTCTCCTCCTCCTCCTCCTCCTCCTCCTCCTCCTCCTCCTCCTCCTCCTCCTCCTCCTCCTCCTCCTCCTCCTCCTCCTCAATGGCACCGTGGAGGGTACTTTTATATGGTAGTTTTCACAACTGAGGGCTGAGCAGAGGCAACAGGTCGGACGTACTCATATATGGCTCGAAGTTTTTGGGGGCGCGCCTCTCCGCCACCTCCTCCACTGCGGATGCTCGGCGCCGTCCGCCTCGCCGCGCCGTGGCTGGGGCAGATCGGCGCAGCCTGGCTGGCGCGGCCGCCGGCGTGCCCAGCTTGCCCGGCGTGCCCAGCGGTCGACGCCCGCTGCGAGCCGCGCTGCGGGGCTTGCCCGTCCAGCCCGGCCTGCCCGGCCTGCCCGGCGCTGACCTGCGGCGCCTCGCCGGAGCTGTCGTGCCCGGCGTGCCCGGTGGCCCCGCACGCGGCGGCCGAGCCGGAGGCAGCTGGGCCCTGCCCCTCGCCCGCCTCGGCAGAGTGCCGGGGCTTCGGGGCCGGGTTCGCCCTTGGCCTGCTCGCCGGCGCGCTCCTGGCGGTGGTGGCGGTGGTGGCCCTGCAGGCGCTGCGGCGGCTCGCGGGCTACGCGCGCGCGTTGCTGCGCTCGGGGCGTGACCTCGAGATCGACGACCTGGGCGAGGAGGCCCGCGCACAGGTGAAGGTGCTGCGCCAGCGTGCCCTCGCTGCCCAGTGATGGCGGCTCCTGGCCCTCCAGCCCACTGCTCGCTCGCCGCCGCGGGCGTCGCCGTCGGGGACTTCCTCGGCATCCAGTACAACGTTGGTGGGAGGGCGCTCGTGCACGAGCGCGTCGTGGTCGCCCTGGACCCCGGCACCCCCGGCACGGCGGCGATCGTCACGGTCGACGGCGAGGAGTACGACGAGCAGGTGGTCGGCAACGCGGACGTGCTCCACCTGGGACCTGCTGCCCGGCGGGGCGGCGGGCGGGGTCTTCCCGTGGGCGCCGGCGGCGAGGTATTATCGCTTCAGGGCGATCCCCACGGTCGCGGCGCTCACCGCTGCCGCCGGCCGCGCCTGCGCCCGCCTGGGCCTCGCGGCGCCCGCTGGCCCCGTGGTGCCCAACGTCGCTGGGCTTGCCCCCGCCGTGGCAGCCCCAGCGGCGGCGCCTGCGGGCGCCCTAGCGCTGCCGGCGGGCGGTGCGCCAGGCCCGGAGGGCGGCGGGGTGGCCGCGCTCGTGGCTGCGCTCGGAGGTCCTGCCGGCGGCGCTGCTGGTGGCGCGCTCGCCCCTGCGCCAGCTCCAGTCGCTGCTGCAGCCGCGCCGGCGGCTCTTGTCGCAGGGGGGCCCCCGTGCCGCCCGCTGGGCTCGGCATGCTGGCCCCTGCATGGGCCTGCCGAGCCTGCCGTGGCCGCCGCCCCCGGCGTCGCGCCGCCTGCCGCAGTGCCAGCGCCCGCGGGCGTGCCGGCTGGCGGCGCCCAGGCCGGCCCTGGCGGCGACGCCCGCATCTTCGCCGTCGTGAGGGACTTGCGAGGAGTGCGGCGTGCCGACTTCCGGGTCATGGTCTCCCAGATGGTCGAGTTCCCCTGGCCTGACTGGCCAGTGCGCGGACCGCGCGCGCTGCTGTGGGTGCTGCAGTACATTGCCCAGAGGTCGGGGACCCCGACGGCCCACCACCAGCGGTGGCTAGCAGAGACGGGGCTCGACCCTGAGTCGCCGGGGGTGGACATCCACCAGATGGGGTGCATGGCGCTGGAGTCGGCAGTGACCTACGACCAGGAGCACGCCACGAACCTGGCCCACCTCGAGCTCGCGGCCCGCTCAGTGCAGGCGCAGGAGGAGCGCTACCGCCAGCTGGCCACCCCGGGTGATGCCGGCGCGGCGGACCGCGCGGTCATGATGGGGTCGCAGGAGCTCGACGGGGCGGTGCGCGTCTGCCCGGACCTGCGCGACCACCTCGCGCAGGAGCTGCGGCGGGAGATGGCGGTGGCGAAGGAGAGGCGCAAGGCGCGAGAGGTGCGCGCCCTCGCCGGGGGCGTGCCCGGCCAGCCTGGTGCAGGGCGCGGGATGGGGGAGGCGCGGCGGCGGCTGCAGCGGCCGCGGCGGCGGGCCCAACGCCGCAGGAGGCGATGGTTGACTCGCCCCGGGGCGGATGGCCTGGCCAGCCGCCGCCCCCGTCCCCCTTGGCCCCCGCAGAGCCCGCCAACATCGCGGGCTTCTCCCCTGGCGGCGCTGGGCGCCGGCGGCAGGACGACGGCCGGCAGCGGGGCATCTTTCCGCTACCGCCGCTGGCTGCTGCTGATGCGGTGCCCCACGTGTCAGGGGCTCGGCGGCGGGCGCGGGCCGGCCATGCCCTCGCGCACGCGCTGGACCGTGCCAATGCTGCCGTGCATGCTCTGAATGACCTCTACGGCGACCAGTCCTCGCCCGCGCCGACGCCGTCTGCCGGGCAGCGCTGCGCCGCCGCCCACATTCGGGACTCGGTCGCTGCTCTGGGCCCTGAGCCACCTGAGTATCGTGACGACGTCTCCGACAACAACGGGGCCCTGCGGGAGCTCCTTGCTGGGTCCGCGCTGTACCCTGACGGCGGCGGGCCCACCACTCCTTGCGTGCCAGACCTCGTCTCCTGGCCAGATGTGTCGCAGCCGCCCGCCCCGCTCCTTGGGCTGCTGGGCGAGCGTGACTCAGCCGCGCTGCGGGAGTGGAGGTGCCAAATGCTCCGCGAGCCCGAGGAGGCGCGGCAGCTGCGGGCGGAGGCCTGCCCGCACGGTCCGTACACGGACCCTGCGCTGCTGCGCTCGCTGCCCGACTACGCCGCCTTCCTCAGCGCCATGATGGAGCGCAGCATGCTGACGTTTGCCCCGGCGCGAGGGCGCCGAGGCAACATGGGGATTTTCTTTGTGCCAAAGAAGAGTGGTCGTCTGAGGGTCATCTTCGACACGCGGCTCGCCAACTGCGCGTTCGTCGATGCGCCTCGCACCCAGCTGCCGTCTGCGTCCGCCTGGGGGCGGCTCGAGACGGGCGACGTGCGGGTGTCCATCGCCTCGGCGGACCTGGACGTGGCCTTCTACCACATGCGGGTCCCGGACGGGATGGAGGAGTTCTTCGTGCTGCCGCCCATCCCTGCCAAGCATCTCGCTCCGTACGGGGTCGCTGTGGACGGGGTGGAGGGCGAGGCGCTCCTGCTGCCCCAGGTGGTGGTGCTGCCGATGGGCTTCAGCTGGGCCTTGCACCTCTGCCAGACGGTGCTGGAGGCATCGCTGGGCCGCGCTGGTTTCCCTCAGAGTGACCTCGTCCTTGACGGCCGCTGCGGCTGCCAGCTCACGAGCGACCTGGGCTCGGTCGCGGGCGCCGGCTACGTGGGCAACTACTTCGTCCTCGGCGGCTCTCCAAAGACTGTGAGCGAGCGGCTGCAGGCCATCACCGACGACCTGACGCGCCACGGGCTCACCGTGCACGAGCTCGAGGCGCCCTCCCAGGATCGCGACTTTCTGGGGCCATCGCTGCGCGAGGGGCGCTGGCTGAGCCTCAAGACGCGCAACATCTGGCGGTTGCGCGCGGCCATTCGCGCCACGCTCAGGAGGCAGGTCATCGGCGGCTTCCTGCTGCGCGTTCTGACCGGCCACATCGCCAGGGCGCTGCTGTTGCGCAGAGAGTTGCTGTGCATCCTCGGGGCCACCTACGCCTACGTCGAGGCCACTGGGCCAGTCGCGTCGCCGCTCTGGCCCGCGGTCCGTCATGAGCTCCAGCTAGTCCACGACCTGCTGCCGCTCTGTACTGTTGACCTAGGTGCCCCGTGGCACGGGCGAGTTGCTTGCACAGACGCCTCGCCATTTGGGCTGGGCGTCGTTGCTCGTCGCGCCCCAAAGGACCGTGTGGGCACCATTGGGAGAGTCGCTGAAAAGTGCTGGTACAAGGTCGAGGGAGGTGCGCAGGCAAGGCGTAGGACGATCGGGATCAACGGTGATAACTCGTCCGAGCAGTTCGGGGGCCTCGAGGGCGACTTCGGGGTGAGTACTCAGCCCGTCAGGGATGGCATCACCGAGGGCCTGCCGCTCGAGGGCGTCTTGGGTGAGGCCTCTGAGGGCCTGGTCGAGCTGCAGCTCCCGAGGGCCCCTGGGGACACCTACGAGTCGATCATGGACATGAGGCCCGTCGTGGACTTCGACGAGGTCCCGCCCCACTTCATCCGTGGGCCCGCCTGGGGCTCCGTCGCCGTCGTGTACATCGAGGGGAGGGCCAACATCTTGGCTCTGGAGGGGGAAGCGCTCGTTCTTGGGTATCGGCACCTCCTGAGGTCCACATCCGCGTTCGGGTCTCGGTTCCTCATCCTCTCCGACAACCTGCCGCTCGTCCTGTTCGTCGGTGAGGGTCGGGCCCGCAGTAAACACCTCCAGAGCACGCTTCGCAAGATCTGCGCGCTCTCCGTGGCCACTGGCTCAACCCTGGCAGTGAGGTGGATACCATCTGAGGCCAACCCCTCCGACGCGCTCAGCCGCGGGCGCGCTGGCTGGTTCTCTGGCAGACGGCCGGCGCCGCAGCCCCCTGGAGGCGGGCTGCTCGCACATGCGGCGGCTTGTGCTGGTGCTGGCACTGGCCCAGGCTGCAGCAGCGGCTCGCCGCTCGGCCGTCCCGGCGCCCTCGGCGCTCCGGGCCGAGCGTGCGGCCCCTGCGTGGGCGCTGGCGGCGGAGACGACGGCGGTGGCGGGGCTCTCGCTGCTCGAGCGGCTGGCGGCGAGGAGCTCGACGGCTCGTCTCTACCGGGAGGCCCTCACCAGCTTCGTCGACTTCTGCGTCGAGCGCCGCCGGGACTGGGCGACGCACTCGGGCCTGGGCGAGGCGCCGGTGCTGCACATGCACAGCGAGTTCCTCCTCGGCGGCGGCGGCGCTCAGGGGGGCGTCCTCTTGGCGGCGGTGGCGCACTTCCTCGGCTCGTTCCACAAGGGGACCTCGCTTCCACTGCCGAGGGCTCGCCGCGCAGCTGCGGCGTGGGCGCGGCGCGCGCCTGCGCGCACCCGGCTGCCACTGCCGCGTCGCGTGGTGTTCGCCTTGGCGGGCCTCCTGGTCCTCGACGGGTTCCCACGGCTGGCCATTTGCATCCTCGTCATGTTCGCCTCGTACCTCGGGCCTGGCGAGGCGGCGAAGCTGCGCGGGCGGCATCTGATATCTCCGTCGGTGGCGGCGGGCGCCAGCTACCAGTTCTTCGGGCTGTCCCTGCACGAGAGTGGACAGGAGCCAGGCAAGACGGGCGTGAACGACGAGAGCATCCTCCTCGATCGGGGGGCTGGGCTCAACCCGCTGCTTCACGCTCGGAGGCAGTCCACAGCGTCGTCGGAGCCGCGGTGGGACCAGGAGGTGGGCCGACTGGGCGCGCCGTTCGCTCAGGAGACCAAGCTCTGGGACGAGCTCGCCTGGATCCCGTCCAAGGTGATGGAGCTCGGGGCCTTCGTCGAGAGCAACCTGGAGGCGCTGGTCGGCGGCTGCCTGCCCAGCTGGCTAGCGACTGGCCGCGTCCCGGCCGCCGCCGCGTCGCTCCTCCGCCCGCTGCCTCAGGGAAGGCAGCCGGCCGCCGGCGGCCGCCCGCGCAGGCGGCCCGCGGCCTAGGCGGCGACGGCGTCTGCCCGCCGACGGACGCGGTGAAGCGGCACCTGCAGCGGCAGCATCGCCGCGCTGCCGCGTCAGGCCGGGCCCTCAGGCGCCGCCCTGTGCTGGAGCTCTTCTGCGGAGCTGGCAGGGTCGCCGAGGCGCTGCTTGCCCGCGGCTTCGCCGCATTTGGGCTCGACTGGCAGCGCAGCCCACTGGAGGATCATGTGCGGCCTGCCTTCATCGCCACAGTCGTCGGCTGGATCCGGTCGCGCGCAGCGGGCGCTGTCTGGCTGGGCACCCCCTGCGCCAGCTGGACGCGAGCCCTGCGGCGCCCGCTCAGGTCGGACCGCTACCCGTTCGGGCTGCCCGACCTCTCATCGTCGGAGCAGGCTCGCGCCGCCGCGGGCAATGCCACGCTGCGCATGACAGTGATCATAATTCGTGAGTGCATCTCTGCCCGTGTGCCTGTCTTTCTCGAGAATCCACAGACCTCGCAGATCTGGTCGCGCCCTCCCCTCGCTCGCTTGTGTCGCCGGCCGTCTTGCCAGAAGTCTGTTCTACATCAGTGTCAGTGCGGCGCCGATTTCAAGAAAGCCACGACCATCATGTCGTGGGGGGCGGGCGCCATGCACCCTTTACAGCTTGTCTGCTCTGGGAAAAAGAGGCATCTGCAGTCGCTCGGGCAATCGCCATGTAATTCTGGAGGGCAACGATGAGCAAGGGCGGAAGCGTACTGCTGTCGCCGCCGTGTATCCTCGTCTCCTCGCCCAGGCCGCTTCGCGCTGTATCGTCGAAGCGTTGCACATTCAGCCTGGTCTCGCCCTCCAGTCTCTTGCCATGAGATAGCCCACATTGCCTGCTCTCCGAAAACAGTTTCTTCTTTATTTATACGGCCTTCGGCCAGTTGAACCTTCGGGATCGGGTGAGGGGTCGCGCAGGTGGTCCTCACGAGCGCTGTCGCGCTCCTCGTCCGCTTTGTCTCTGCTGCTCTCGCGCTTCTAGCTCAGTCAACGCCTGGCCCTGTGCTGTCCCAGATGGAAAAGGTGCCTGGCCCGGGAGCCGAAGCGAGCTGGTAGTTTTCACAACTGAGGGCTGAGCAGAGGCAACAGGTCGGACGTACTCATATATGGCTCGAAGTTTTCCCCGTGGCCATCCCGACACGCCTTCTCGCCACTATTGTCGGGTGAGGGGTCGCACAGGTGGTCCTCACGAGCGTTGTCGCGCTCCTCGTCCGCTTTGTCTCTGCTGCTCTCGCGCTTCTAGCTCAGTCAACGCATGGCCCTGTGCTGTCCCAGATGGAAAAGGTGCCTGGCCCGGGAGCCGAAGCGAGCTTATATGCAGATACACGCCTACTCCCAACAAGCAGGCCAGCATTGTGAGATGATGGAGGGGGGAGAGCCTCTGTCGTGCATCGGCGTCTTCCTGCTGGCCCCTCGTGTTTTTTTCCTGCTTACCTGACGCTCGGCATAATATGTGCTCCCCCCCCTTCATGTCTCCCCTTCTGTCCTCCTTCTCCCTATGATTATGCTGCTCCCACTCCGTGCAGCATCGCGATTCTCCCTCCTCTCTAGTCCTCTCTTCCTTACCCAAAGTACTTTCATTGCTACAGCCCCCTGCTTTCTCGGTCATTATTCGTTTCGCCCTGAACCCTCCCCAACCGTCTCGCCGTGAGCATGGTGCACGTACCTCGTAGAACCTAGGCGCGCGAAGCACGCGCGCGCGTGACGAGGGGGTGGAGTAGGATGATGAGAAGTCAGGGAGGTATGGAGGGAGGGAGGGAGGACTGCTGATGCTTGCAATGACGATTTTGACACTGACGATGATGCTGATGATGACGATCATGATGGTGATGGTGAGGGTACTGGTGATGGTGATGGTGCTTGTTATGGTGATGGTGATGATGGTGTCAATGACGATGATGATACGAATGACCGTGTCGTTGATGGTGATGACGATGATGATGTTGAAGATGATGCTGATGACTATGAGGCTGATGGTGCTGGTGATGATGGTGATGTTGATGCGGATGACGATGATGATGCTGGTGATGCTGACGGTGATAGTGATGTTGATGGTGATGCTGTTGTTGATGATGTTGTTGCTGATTATGGTGAATGCTTATGATGACGATCAGGAGGATGGTGTTTATCGTGATGATGACACCGGTAGTGATTGCGATGGTGATAATCACACTTGCGATGGCAGTGACAACACGGATTTTGTTGCTGATGGTGTTGTTGATGATTGTATAATGGTGATATTGATGCTCGTATGGTGATGTTGAATTGCCGTTAGGGGCGATGCGGATGACGATGTTGATGCTGATGTTGATTATGTTGTTGAGGCTGCTGAACATGATGTTGCGGTTGCTGCTGTTTGTGGTGATGTTGATGAGGGTGTGGTTGGTGTCGATGACGAGGATGATGGCTATGCTTTGGAGGATGAGGATGCTGCTGATACTGATGGTTGATACTGATGGTGATGCTGATAATGCTGATGAGGATGATGCTGATGATGGTGTTGATGACGACGCCGAGGCCGTTGATGGTGACGATGGTGATGATGCGGAGGATGAGGAGCAGCAGGATGAGGCATTGACGCTATACAGGTAATGGCCGTGTTAGCATGAGGGACGGGTGACACTCGAGCAAGTGGGGTACGTGTGCCAAGGGACGCAGGCGGGATGGTTATCGTTCAATTGTCGAGGCCAGAGCCTGGGGAGTAAGCTGGCGCACAGGGATGCGTGGGGGAGGGGGGGGAGGGGGCATGGGGCCTCAGGGGAGCGGTCGAAACGTACCTGCGGGAGATCGACAACTGCCAGGTGGAGCTGGACGGCCAGGACCGCCTCCCTCCCCCCCTCTCTCCCTCGTGGGCCTCCGCCGCTGCCGCCGTCTGCGCCCCAGTCGCTGCCGCATCCTGCTGCTTGTCCTCGTCCTCGGGTGGTCCCCTCGTCGTTAGTCGGTTGCACGGGGCCCTGTGGGCCCTCCGCCTCTAGCAGCGTCGTGTAAGATACCATGGTATTGGGCGTTCGCGTGAGGTTTTCCCTTTTCAGGAAGGCAGAGTGGCTAAAGCTACCACATTCTTACCACTGCAGCAAAGACGCAGGGCATATTTGGCAAAATGGCGCCTGCGCCAGAGTGCATCTTGCAATCTATGCTGGCGTTGGAGGTTTTCGTGCGGCTTGCCCTTGCCAGGTTTTCAAGATAACGAAACACATCCGAATCGTACGACTGCAAAGTGCATATCTGGATTGTTGACGCTTCGCGAATCCCCACCAGCCCTTCCAGAAACGATGCCCAAAGAATTGCCTCGATCATGGAAGTGGGCAGCACACAGAGGGAGCCATTATGACACATCTTGGGATATCTGGAGCCATCTTGGAGGTCATCTTGGGCTCTCCCAGGCGCTCTTGGAGTCATCTTAATCCGTGCCCCCCCCAAGAGGCCAACATGTGGCTAAAACCTTCGTAAAATCAATAATATTGCATTCTCGCCGAGGCCTCTTGGAGCATCTTGGGTGCCTCTGGGGGGTTTCTTGGGGCCTCTTGGGGGTCTCTTGGGAGCCTCTTGGGGGCATCCTGGGGGCC